TGAACTCAGAAATCCGCCTGCCTCTGCCTCCCAAGTGCTGGGATTAAAGGTGTGAGCCACCATCGCCCGGCTGAGGCCAAGCTCTTAAGCATGCGTTAAGAAAAATAAATTAAGAACTGAAAGAGGAAACTGAAGAGCCAGGGTATAGTACTGGTTTGGTTCCACTGTCACAGAGATAAACATCTGGACAGCTCAAAACAAACACAGCTTTGGACTCAGAACATGCAGGCCAGCTTTGTCTTGTGCTGGTAAAACCTGTGTTCTGTACAAAGCCAGACTCTACATAATCCTCAAAGATGTCTGAGACACTGCTCCATGCTGCAGGGATCCATCCCTTCAAGGGGATCCAGTACCCTGGCAAGATTTTCTTCAAGGAGACCAGAGATCAATTGACACCTTGGATAGCCCTAGGCAAAAAGGATTGGGATAAACCTGTTTCTACCTGTGAGGGTTAGAGGGTCAAGACTGGGGGCCTCAGTGGATGTGTCTAGAACAGTAATATTAGATCATCATACTCAGAGCTACATCAGGTAGTGACTTAGAAATGGCATTGTCCTTACCTAGGTAGTCATAACCCAGAAGAAACACTAAGCTGAACATCTGAAGTCCATGTAGCTACCTAGCTGGCTCTGCCACTAACAGCTGCTTTGCTTTCTGTTTTCCAAGCAAAATCTCTCCCCAAGCCTTGATTTTTCTCAGTTGTGAAGGAGTGATGGATTCTTTGGTAAGATTAGCTTACTTCCTCACAATGAGCCCCTATGTGACAGTTAGCTATAATTGTCAACTTTCCACAACACTGAATCACTTGGAAAGAGACTTGATGAGGGATTGTCTGCTGTGGGTTGGCCTGTGGACATGTCTCTGGAGAACTGTCTTCATTAAATTAAATGATAGTGGAAAGACCTGCCCACTGTGGGCAGCACCATTCCCTAGGCAAGGGTTACCAAAATGTCTAAAAGAAGAAACCTAGCTGAGTATAAATAAGCAACCAAGTGGACATGATACACTTATTCTCTCTCTAGTCTTGCTTCCTGGAGTTCCTGCCATCTGGACTTTCCCACACTGTGGACTGTAACTTGGAATTATAAGCTGATAGAGACCCCTTCTCCCCCAAATTGCTTTTTGTCTGGGTATTTTATCATGGCAATAAGAATGAAACTAGAATGCCCTGCAACCCAACAGCTGTGTAGGATATTTGAGTGAATACAATGGCAGGGCCCATGCCTTTTCAACTGATGGTGGCAAGGAACATGGCTTTCACAGTGCACGGCTCACAAGATGCTCTTCATAACATGGTTGATGGTACATTAGCAGTGTTGATGTGTTTGGGGAGTGCTTGGCCTTATGCTCCCCAATTGTACAATATCAGTCCTACCTAGCTCCCTGACCTCGTGACCTACCTACACTTCAAGCCTTGTCTTCCATAGTGTGTTATCACTAAGGTAGCAGCTCACTACCCTAAGTTGTCTCAGGAGCTCTTCCTCTGAGTAGCCACCCCTGCCTAGGTGGCTATAGGATAGAAAACCACAGCACCCTACTGTCAAAATCTCCTTGTCCTAGAAACTCTGCCCAAATTCATTAGCTTGGTATTCTCAGGCCAGACAAGCCATCTCCAGGCATCTTTCCAGGCCTTCTTTGAACTCAATGCCTTGGCCTTCTTAGCCCTTGGCATCCTTGGACCAATCTGCAGAGTCCAGTGATGTACCATGTGCTGTTCATACAACTTGCTTTCCTTGAAGACATCATTTCCTCCCTTTGGCTTTTAAGATGCTCGTCGACGTTTGAAAGGGAAAACTAATCAGTGAGCAAGCTTTCTGTCTTAGGCCCTTTTCCTAGCTGACTGCTGACCAACCAAGAAGTCTCTTCCTCCCTCTACTCAGAATTTTTGTTATTTGTTTCTAAAGCAGGATATTGATTTGTAGCACAGGGTTTCTTTGCACTTGTGATTCTCCTGCCTCAGCCTCCCAAGTCCTGGGATGCACATCACATTTAGCCTTTCTCCAGGTTTTTGGGGTTTTTTTTTGGGGGGGGGTTGTTACTCATCATTGAACCTGGAGCCTGATGCATGCTAAGCAAGAACTCTATCGCTAATGTCAGTGTTTATTTCCTACCTCATCAGACAAGACATTTGGCCCAGAGCTGGAGCTTGGGGACCCTCAGATGGCTCTGATGAGCATACTAGCACTGGCTACGATGGCCTTGGACAGGTGTGACTATGACATCATTTCCTACCCTGCCACTCTGTGTCTGCCACAGCCACTGTGACATACATTATGCTGGTAAACTGTCGTGTGTGATATGAGCTCACTGAGAAGCTGAATCTGAAACGGGGCTGTTCCTACCCTACTTCAGACCCAAGCAGGTTTCTCTCAGAGAGCCCTCCAAGGCTCCCTTTTCTGTAGTGGACTGCTCCTGCAATCTCTGTGACAGGGAGGGTAAAACAGGGAGGCTGAGAGTAATAACATATGTAACACTAGTAATGATATAGTACTAGTAGTGGTAATGGATATTACTACTGTCCATCCCATAATAAAGTGCCTGCAGTGAGAAAGAGAACTGGAATGTCAGCCATGAGAAGCTCAGCCATGGGTGGAGGGGGCATATATTCAATTTGGGAATTCCAACTGACTGTCTCAATTTTCCCAGTTCATATCTGTCATGTCTGCGAGATGTTTTGTATACCAGTTTGATGAACTTTGATATCTATCCACTATGTGCTATTTTCCCTTTTACTTTGGCTTCTATTCTTAAAATTGCTCAGTCAAAATTCAAAGAATGGCTATCAATAGATCATTCTCATGACTGGACAGAGCAGCCACCATATATGTGGAAGGCACAGCCTCTTCCCTGTCATACAAGAATACGCAGACCTGGAACTGAACCACCTCAGTTCTCTCCAGAACAAAGTTCAAATCTCTGCACAGAAACCTACTTACAAAATTAGAAGACAGGATAGATGACAGCTGCCCCCCCCCCACCCATCCAGTAGCAAGCCACATACAAATCTTCATCAGATCCTGTCTTGGTTCACAAAGGATCTAATTGTCTTCATGTTTTCCCCCTTGTAGCAACTGACCTTGCTAGTTTCTGTCCTCTGAAGTGCCAACTTCCCACCTCCCCTCTTTTAAAGTCAGTCTTCAGCTAGTGCCAACATGACTATTTGGCTTAAGCTCAAAGAAGGTACCTTGGATCCCAGGGTCCAGTTCTCCCATCTGGTTATTTGTCTAGTCCCCTGAGTTCCTCAAGCAGGGTCTGGAGTATCTTCCCCACTCCCCCCAGCAGTGAGGGAGGCACCCATCCCAAACATACTGCCAGTAAGGATTTGAATGAGACTCTCCTCACCTTCTTCACTTTACATTCACCTCCTCACTGAAGAAGCAGTTTCTGGAGAACTATGAATACTTCCCCAGGTCCCTGCTTGATCTTAGACCCAGTAGCTGATAAGGCCCCTGCTTATTCTACCTACCAGCCAATTGACTCTTGTCTGAACCCCTACCTCAACCCCAAGAAAGGTGACCTGCACAAAACATTCCGAAGTCATGAGGAGAAGTCACTTGAATGCATCATCAGGAAATTCCTGAGCTAGAGCAGCTCCAAGAAAGCTACCAGCCAGGGCTGCAATAGCAAAGGAAGCCACCTAGGCTGGATCATGGGCCTGTCAGGGATAAAAGACAGTTCCCACCTGCCTAGTTCTTCCCTATTCTTTACACTGAAACACGAATAACCCCAGTAGCCCTTTGGCCCCAGTAAGCGTGCCTTAGTCACAATTCTTAACCCAAACCAGGGGCTCATAAGGCCAACTGGTGAAGCCAAGCTCTCTATAAGCAGATAAGATGTGCCTGTGTGAGCCCTGACTGTGGAGGGCCTAAGTGACAGAGCCAGAAACATGGCACCTAAGAAATAGAAGAACACAATATGTATATACACACACACATACACACACATATACAAACATACACTATACCACACACACATACCCTACACATACACATTATACCAACATACACACACACACACACATATACTATACCACACACACACACATACACACACACACACACTATACCATACACACACATACGCACACATACATACCCTGCACATATATATTATACCCCTATATACACATATCACACATATGCACTATACCCCACCCTCAATACATACACATATGCACACAAGAAGCTGTTCACATCAGTTAGTCAGGGGCTAGCTCACACAGTAACAGAATAGGACAATGTACTCAAGCAAGTTCTTCCAGTCACTAGAGGACAGCAGGAACTTGTACAAACCAACACACACATGAGTGTGTGCCTAAAACCACATATAAATTCTCGCTCTCCCTCTCTTTCCCTTTCTGTGTGTGTGTGTCTGTGTCTCTCTGTCTCTTTGTCTGTATGTGTCTGTCACTCTGTCTCTCTGTCTCACTCTGTCTGTGTGTCTCTGTATCTTTGTCTCTGTCTCTATGTGTGTGTGTGTGTGTGTCTCTCTCTCTGTCTCTCTCTCTGTCTCTCTCTCTGTCTCTCTCTCTGTCTCTCTCTCTCTCTGTCTCTCTCTCTGTCTCTCTCTCTCTCTCTCTCTCTCTGTCTCTCTCTCTCAGAATTAGTATAGGTAGACTCCTGGGTCCTAGACTGACAAACTTTGGACACAGTTCTGGTTTATGTTGCTATACCCCACGCTTTATCCTGAGATCATACAGGTATAGTGTGTACATGAGTGTTTTTGAGCCCACATTTGTACATCTGTTTTACTGATCAAGGAGGTTCGGTATAACCTGCAAGCAGGTTGTGAGTGCATGATGCTGGCCTACTTTCTGTAGACAGCCTCAAACTGCAGGTTTGGATATGTGTAAAGAATACCATGCTGATCTGAGAGCTCAGTGGATCACTGGCCACTCACCCCACTTGACCTGGAGAAAACCCAGAGCATTATCACCTCTCGCAAGCAAACCTCCTCTGCAGATACAAGAGCACCTCATATAGGAGGGGTCAGGGACTCACCAGAACTCTGCCAGTCAGTGTCTGGGCAGATATCATCACCCCTGCCCAGTCCTTCACAGATGTCATCCAGCCGACTTCGGCTGCCACCACCTCCTCTTTTTCGTCCACTGGCTTGAGAGTACCATCTGCCTGGCTGGAGCCATTGTTTATCTTCTGGGCCTCCTGGCAACAGAAAGAATCAGAGTTGAGACATAGGAAACAGCTGGATTTAAATCAGATGCTCACCTACAAAGAATCAGAACCCAAAGGGTTTTCCAGACGGGGGAATATGGCATGAAGATACAGAAGTGGGAGAGAAGAGATCACTAAGGATTTTATTTTCTTTAAAGATTTTTAAAACCAAGCTGTGGAGATTGTTTATTGGGTAAAGCACTTTCCATGCATATGTGAGGACATGAGACTAAATCCTCCAAGCCTAGGAAAAGCCAGGTTTGGTAGAGTACACCTGTAACTTCAACACTCTTACAGAAAGATGGAAAGCTGAGACAGAAGGATCTCCAGATCCCCAGAAGCTCACAAGTCAACTAGCCTGGTAGCATACACAACAGACACCAGCAAGAGAGGTTCTGTCTCAAACAAGGTGGACAGAGACGACTGACACCCAAGATAGTCCTCTGACCTTTACATCCTTTGCTGCTCAATGCTTTCTTCTGCCTCTGTCTCCTTATGTTTTTCACCCGGGCACTCTCAGTGTCTCAACAAAACACCAACTCTCTTCTTCCAACGCCACTGCTTTGCTTTACTGTTCTCCATAGCTCTTGAACCCTCTATCCATACTCCATAATTCACTAATTTATTTCATTTATGTCCCCTGTTCCAACACTGCTGTCAGGCTGCACACCTGACACTGTCTTAAGCACAAAGGTAGCATTGTAAATATTAAGCAAATTGGGCATGGTGGTCCACACCTGGAATCTCAGGAGGCTGAAGCAAGAGGATCTTCCACAATTTTAAAGCCAGTCTGGGCCACAGAGCACAAACAAACCAAAACGAAACAAAGATAACACCATCACCAACAACAAAAACAACCCCAAGCAATCTAAACTTTGGATGAACGGCTACAAAGAATTCTGAGTATCTGCTTTTTGTCACCTCCAGAGCCCTAGGTTTGGGGATACAAGGTAAAATATAGGATGCTCAGTTGTATTTAAATTTCAGGTAAACAAATATCTCTATAAATGTGTCCAAAAATACATGGGTTATACATCCACTGAAGACTCATCATTCTAAAATCAAATTTTGACAAGATTCATACTCGAACACCCACTGAGATTATTAATGCAGAAGGAGATGGAAGAAAATGTAAGTAAATTATATTCATCACTTATAATCCTGGGATTCATTTTCAAAGAGACAAACACTGGGGATCACTGTGCTTTGGACTAAAGTGGGTCTAGGGAGGGGGAACCAAAGGCAGAGGCAGAAACCTTCTGTGAGGAGAAGGGTGGGCACATTGAGACCAGGGAAGTGGTGAGGACTGGGTGAGTTGCTGGCCTTAGAGCAGTCCTGACTCCTGCTTCTCTCCTGCTGGCTGACCCTTGCTCTGGTAGAGTTGGACTGGGAAGCTGGGGCTGTAGGACTGGATGAGCACAGTATTTTACTCTCCAGTGTTTTAAGCTGCAGGAGCTGGAACAACCCCAGTGGGAGCCTGGGAGAAGGAGGCCTTGGACCACCTGCTGATTTGTGTGACATCTGCTGATCAAGCCTCCTAGGCTAGTCTCAGTGGTCTGTTAACTCTTGTCCTGGTGCTGAGACTTGAGGGGTGGTTCTCCAGCAGGACTAGGAGGATGTGATCTTTGGCAGCCAGAAATCTAGCTCTCCCACCAATTCAGGGACTGCCCTGTGAGATTGGGATGGGAGTGGGGATGGGAGCAGCAGGGGGCCAAGTTGCCTGCCCCCCAGAACTAAGCAGTATCCAAGGGTACATAACAGGAACTCAGTACCAAGTCCCAAAATGTCCCACCTCCACCTCACATCTGACATTGACACTGAAGTGCAGTGGCTCTCAGGCTTGAGTTTGTTCCAAAATCAGAATCAAAAGGTGTGTTCGTTCAGCTTCTCAGAGTGCCAGGACCTGCTCCAGAACCTGCAGTTTTATCTGACATTCATTCCTGAGGTCAACTTAGAGGACCACAGGCCTTGTTCATGCCACATAGATCATGGACCTTAACTCCAGCACTTTCCTAGACTCCTCTTCAGCCAAAATCACCTCCTACTTTCAGAACAGGCCAATGAACAGTGAGGGCTGAGGAAAAGATGTGCTTTCAACCCAAAAGATCTTATGTTTGTTTTTGCTTGATCATTTTTGAGACAGGGTCTCAGGTAGCGTCAAAGTGCCTCAAACCAGATATATAGACAAAGACCACCTTGAACTTCTAAGCGCTGAGCTTATAGGCACACACCACTACTACCACTCCATGCAGTACTAGAAATCAAGGGCAGGACTTTCTGCATGCTAGGCAAACACACTACCAATTCAGCTACACATAACACCAGCCAACTGGTCTCTGGCTGCCACCTGGAGGGCCAGTTTCCTGCTGCTTGAGCCTGGTGTCTCAAAGGACAGACACTTTTCAGCATGAAAAAGGCCCAGAGGCAGGGAGTCCCCTATAGCCACCATGATTTTAATGCATCTATAATTCACAGCACAAGAGGTATACAGCCCATAGTGTGCTATTTCACCAACCCTCTTACCTATTGTTTTACAAAGCATTCATTATTTTAATTGCTTTATGATAGGCAAGGAAAAACACAAACTAACAGAAGATAATGTCCTTGTTATTATTTGCTTACACTAGATGTTATGAGCTTAATTACCACACGTGGGAGGCAGGACTCGGGGAGGGGCCACAGAAGCAGAGAGCTACAGCAAGCCCTGTGCCAGCCTGCCAGGTTAGCTGGGAGATTCTGTGCTTAGAAGACAGAGTCTCACACCCCTCTACTAATGTTACAATTCCACATACCAGAGGAAAGGGGGTGGGACCTGGAGGGGTGAGTGGTCCTGCTGTGGACATGCAGGAGATGAGAGGTATTGGGGTAGATAGAGTTTATTAGAGCATTGATGGTCCCCATTTATGAAGTCAGAACTGGGCTTCAACAATTAGGATGTAAAATTTCTCTGCATATTCATCTTTCTTAAGCTCTGTAGAAATCCAGCAGATACGTGGCATTTCATAGACCATTTTACAGAGTCAGTAACTGACAGCAGGTGTTACCTGGGAGAGTAGAGAGCCTAAGGGCTCAGGCTATGAGGAGAGAGCCCACGAGGACTTGGGTGCACTCTACTCCCTTCAGTCATGTTAACTCTGAGCATGTGCCTCCTCTGTACAGAGTGGGGAGAAGCACCCCACCTCTGGGAAGGTATGAAAGGAACAGTGGTTCAGGCAGTGTTCAGTGAAACCCCAATTGTGACACCTTCCTAGGATCACTGGGCCCTGGGAAGGCCACTGGTCTAGAGTAAGCCTCCATAAAGTGACAACAGAACAGAGAACTTCTGCAGGACCCAGCAAGACTGTGGGACCCTACCCAGTAAAGCCAGGGAGGAATTCCCACACTAGGCAAGCTAAACCAAGTACTGTCTTAGATGCATCCTGGCCCCAAGCTCCATGGGGCCAATCTCTCCCTTCCAAAAAGTGCCAGGGTCACAGTGAGGCAGTTTCTGGGTCCTGGAACTTTGTTTCTCCTCTTATTTTCCATGGCAGACTGCCATAGAAGGGAGACACACTTTGTTCTGAATGACTAAGTGCCTATCCAGCTCCCCCAAACTCTCCACTTCTCTGGAGAGGACTCTACCACTACCAAGAGAGGATGACCGACCTTGTTGTCAGCCAGGTTGTCACTGTGTGAGCCTAAGCAAGGGAGATACTCTACTTGCTGCAGCAGACTTCAGACCACACTGCCCCAGCCTCAGGAGGACCGACCACCAGACATGGAAACAGATGGAAAGATGCTTCGGAGAGGAGACAGAAACATGCAGAAGAGGCAGAGAAACATGAGGAGTAGGGCAGTAGTGCTGGCAAAGCTCCAACCCTGATACTGAGTCTGTGCTACAGCTTCCCCATCCCCAGTCATCAGTGTCCACCTTGGGAGGAGTCCCAGAAAAGAGTCACTCAGCTTTCTTTCAGAGAGCCCTGAGTCCTATCTCTAGCCCTGCATTCCCAGTAGCCTTGGCCAGGCACAGCTGCATGCTGGATTCACATCTAACCTTGGTGCTGCAGACTGAGGTTAGAGAAAGTCTCTAAGCTAGACTGTAGGCACGGGAAGCTGAGAGACACCAGAGAGTGGAATGGTCTTGGTCTCCTCTGGCACACACCCTATTGGACAATGGCCTTTCCTACCTTCTCCCCATTCATTTTAGTGTTGCTCTCACAATGACTTCCCACCAGCAAGGACACAGATGGGCTCACATCTTTTACATCACCTGTGGCCAACAGCCTGATTGGACCCCAATTACTGGTGGCCAGCATACAGACCATCTGTTGGGAGATTTGAGCATATCTACCAAACAGCAATATAACTTAAGAAGGGATCTCAGAATGCTAAGCAGAATAAGCCAGACTCAGAAAGACAAATACCACATTTTCTCTAATGTATGGAATCTAGATCTGAATACACATACTTAAATATGACATGAAAATAGAACAATCTGAGAGGACCAGGGGGACCAGGGGGAAGGGGGAACAAGTATATGTACAAATACATACATGAAAACATCATGGTGAAACCTACTACTTTGTGTGTCAATTTTTTAACGCTAAGACAGAAACTGGTTGGTAACGTCTTAAGCTATAACTGCCCTCCCTTGATAGACAGAGGAGAGAGAGGGCTATGAAGGAACTCACAAGGCCCCTCACTCAGGCCAGCTAAACAATGCTCCAGTTGAGACACAGCCTCCCTAACTGCTCTTGTGTCTCCACAGCAAGAGGACTGCTTCAGATAGGGTCACTGCCAAGATGCTCCCCATGCTACCCAAGGCTGAAGGGTGTGGGACCTGTGGGAGAAAACACACCTTTCCCAGAGGGGTTGGGCTTCCTGGAAGCAAGGACCACCCTGGCCTGATCCATGAGTGTAAAAGCTAGATTCAATCCTAGGACTCTCTCTCCCCAGCTCTCAACCCTCAGATCTGAGGAGTCTGTCAGACTTCCTGAATTGGACACAATGCA